AATAGCCTGTTCTCTGCAGGGTGAGCCTATTGCCAGCCCCCCATAATCTCAGCACAGCCTGAGCCCCAGCTTGAGCCCCAAGGGCAGCATGAGGAACTTCAACTGAATAAGAGCCAACATGCAATGTTCTAGAACACACATATGGACAGCTGACAAATGGATGCCCTGCCTGAACACAGAACCCACATGGTCTGGACTTGGGTCTCAGAAAAGGATCCTTCTTGGCTCACCTACTGATTCACAGACAATGCCAATGGCCTGCCAAGGACCTCCTAACCTGTGACCACCATTCAGGCCCCCAGTTGTGGGAGTTCGAGGCCAGAACCAGAGGACCTGGAGGCCACCTCCTGTCTTTATCTGGCTGCATGACCACAAGCAAGTCAGATGACATCTCTGGTCACAGATTTTGCATTTGACAGAAAGACTCCAAGGTCACTCTGGGGAGTCTAAGTATAGCTGCCACAACTAGACAGAGGCCAGCCCTCCACCTCCCACCTTGTCTTGGGGCCCTCTCTCTCATACAACCTTCGGGCTTCCTGGGAGGCTCATGAAAGTCACTGCAAAGCTCTCAATAACAGGACAGACATTTCTTCTGCATCAGTGAAGCTGGGGTGATAGGGGCAGGGGGGCGCCACCTGGGGCCTTTCATCAGAGATATAAATGTGTGGTGAGATGGAATGGGTGAGGCCTCTACTTGCTGCTGCTGTAGGCCACATGCCCCAGCCACGGCCTGAGCACTAGCTTCTGGCCCAGGGCTCCAGAGGTGACGTGAGGAACCCAGACACTGAGATGCCTACATTCTCCTCAACTTGGGCTGCATGGAGCATGGGACCAATGTGGACTTCAGGACCAGAGTGTGCTAAAGATGTCCTTCCCTTCTGTGACTTACTGTAAAGATCAAACATAGAACTTACTTGGCCAGGATTTCAGAGGGCCTGAGAAACCAGAAGGATCAGACAAAATATCAGAGTTTTGAAGACAGCCCAATGTCAAGCTCACTAACAGGTGGAGCAGCCAGGTGGGCTCACAGCCCTCACAGCCTCTATCTCTGTCCCCTGATGGCAAAGGGCCCAGCTGAGTAAAAGCAACCAAGGGTACATTTTCCCTCTTTGTCTTAGGGAGAAATGAAGGGAGGGGAGGGAAAAAGAGAAAAAGGGAAGGAGGGAGATGCAGGAGTTGAGGCACTCTGTATGCCAGCCTCTTGGAGGGGCCCTGGTGTGGATTTCTGAGAAACTCCAGGGCCAAGGCTGCTCTGCAGGCAGTTAGTGCATTTTACGGTTTGCTAAACTACACAGGTGCTGCTGATCAAGTCTTGACTAGCAGGTGAGTCTGAAGACCGGATTCTGACCTTGGCCTGGGTCAGGGAGTGCACCTTCTCCTCGAAGGCTCTCTCAGCCGAGGCCATTGCCTCCATCGCCTTCCAGTTCTTCTCTCGGAGATCCTGGGGGAAGATGTGGAAAAGGTCAGAAGCGAGGTGAAGTAGCTGCTGACACATTTCCCATGAGTTGCCAGTCTCAGCAGGGCAGAACCTCCTCAACCCCAGTATAGACTCCACAGGGGGCCTACAAAGGGACAAAATGCCTTTTCTCTTGGCCCACGTCCACTGGGCCTCTCTTGGGTAGCACTAACACAAGGCCGAGGTGTCACAGCCTGCTATGGGGTGGCCATGGTATGAGGTGGTGAGGAGGCTAAGCATCTTTTCAGGGAGATGCTGGAAGAGAGGAGGGTCAGTCTGGCTCCTATCACCAAAATGCAAGCAATGACTCCTTGGCTGACTCTGTACAGCTGGGGCTGCCCCTGGGGAGAGCAGATGGGTCGCCCAAAAGCCCAAGCTCTGTGAGGGGTAATGGGCAGGCAGCCCAGTGGGGAAGACACAGCCGAGGCTCCTTTGTACCCCCCGCAGAGGAGGCACTTCCACATCCCCTTTTCCTGATGCTAGCCTCCTCAGTCCAAGGTGATTACATGACCCTGGCCAGGCTAATCAGCACATTCTGTCCCCATCATGAGGGCCTGGGGGAACGTGACCAAGGGTGTTCCAATGGGAGTCTGCCCTGGGACTTTGGATGGACCTGAGAGGCAGAGAGGCTCCCCAAGCCCCCCAAAGAAGGTAGGCTTTCAGCAGTGAGTAGCACGATGGGACGTAAAGGGGTAGATGGGCCCCTTCCTGACTAGTCCAGGGTTGGCCTCACTGCCCCTTTAGTCCCCGGCATGTACACAGACACATGTCCGATACTCACGTTGTTCTTCACTTTCTGTTGTTCGACTGCCTCCTTGAGCTCAGTCGCCTCCTTTTCCAGACACCACACCTGGGACTCTAGCTCCTTGAGGCTGAAGGGAGACAGCGGGATCACTGCCAGGCTCTGAGGGCCCGCAGCCCCCACAGTCCCTATCTTGGGAGGTCCCCTTTCTCTACCTAGGCTCCCATCCTAGCCAGAAGCAACCCCATTCTGCCAACCACCTCGCAGGGCACAAGCTTTCGGAGAAGCCCAAGCAGCCACCCTGACCTCTCTTCCTACTCATCCTGAGTGCTCAAGAACCGGTATGCAAACCCCAGAGGCTACCAGAGTCCCACCTGGTGACAATGTCCATTGACACTGCAGAGGTCAAATCAGCCACAGTGACCAGTGCAGGGACTGGCCCTGACAGTCATATTTTCAGGAAGCTTTTTGCTCTAGTGAAGAGCCCACTGCCTACACAGTTTCTGCTCAACCTGGTCCTGCTCTGTTGCCATAGAACATGTCGACTGGCATTCAAAAGACACGGGCTAGGCCTTCTCAGAGGACACCTGAGCTAGAGACTCACAGTGCTGTCACCTGCATACCTATTGAGACTCCAGGCGCCACTACTCTCAGTTCACTGTGTACAGTGGGACCATACTCTGTCCAAAGCCTAATTCTGCTGAGACCCAAAGTCTCTTCCCTCAGTTCTGTGCCTGGCCTCTGAGAAAGCAGCCCCAAAATGACCCCGAGATGCCACAGGGTTGGCAAGATGTTGGTCCCATCTTTTCACACCCCTCTTCAGATTAAAGGGCCCAGTGGGCTTTGCCCACTCTCATTATCCAGAAAGTGAAAGAGCTAGAACTGTACTTGCTATTCTGAGGAACAAGCTTCAAATAGACATTTTGACATGTCACCTTCTGCATTAAGATGTAGAATTAGGACTAGGAAGACCCCAGGGAAATGTAAAATCTAAAGTCCAGAAATGATCATGCTGACTTGAATCAGCACAGGAGTCACTTGGAAAGTGGGAAAGAAGCCCTGCTTGGAGGACAGGGGGGCTGCCACTGACACCAGATGGGGACATATATATCTGTATTTCTTATTGTGGGCCATGGTCAAAACCTTTTTGAAAACCAGGAATATGACAACCTGGCCTAGATATAACTTTCAAATAAACTGTCTGAGAAGGAGGGAAAAAAAAACAATTTCCAGCAAACACATCTGCATGACACAAAAAATTGGAATCAACCCTATTTGTACCATGAATCAAGTACCATAGTAATTCGCTGTGGGGCCCAATAATCTGACCTTAAAAAACAGAAGAGCAAAAACTTAAACAAACACAATCTCTCTACCCCAACAAATATCACAGGAAACAGTTTGCCCAAGCTTTCTAGAAAAAAAGCATACTGGGAAAGAAAGATGGAAAGGGTTTGATTCTGGCTTCCACAAGGCATTTTGGGCCCTCTGGGTAGCTGGCTTCTTTCCAAAGCCTCCAAACACTGGAGCCTGAGGCCAGGGAACATGGGGAAGATGACTCACTGGTGGCAGCAACCAGAACAAGGAAAACTTGTTGGCTGATAGCCAGGGGCACGTCTGACCATCTGCATAGGGACACCCTCCATGGTTTGCCCCCCAGGTGGCTGCCCTGTGGAACCCCAGCCACTCAGCCACCTCCCAAGCCCATGGGCAACTGCTTAGGGATGCACACCCCAGAGGTGACAGTCCCAAGGACTCCAGGCCTCCCAACTTTGGCCATCACACCCAGGTGTCAGCTCCAGCCTTAGCACCAGCATAGCCTACTGCTGGGCTGCCAACACAGAGGTAAAATAAAGCCTGCCAGCAGTGAAGTTACCTTGCAAACAAACCTGCAACTTGGTCAGCTCTGAACTGTACCAACATCCCAAATCTGCAAAAAGCCTGGGCCATCTCCCAGGTTCTCCATTCTGGGTATAACCATTTTTCCTATTTGATATATGAACTCAGTCCCTAAAATCTCTCATATGTAGATATAGAGAGAACTCCCAACCCTTCCCCATCAAGACATGGATTGATGGGTGGAAGCAGAAGGTCCGAGCCCCCTGCTGAGGCACCTACTACTCTCCACACAGATGAGTCTTGCTCTGTAAGAGGAGGCAAGGAGCTATTTGCAAGGCTGCTTTCTTTCCTGCCCAGGCATATCCCCTGTCCTCAAAGCCACTGGTGGGACAGGGGAAAGGCAGAGGCCTCTGAAAGTGTTCTTCCCAGGGGAGCTATGTGCCCCACTGAAAGCCTTGGCTCCCAGGTCCTGGGCCACCTTGTGCTGAGGCTAGAGACCTCCATCTCGACTTACCAGGCCTGCTGCTGGTCGGCCTCCACTCGGCTGGCCTGAAATGAGAAACAGAAAGAAAGTTCCTTAGTCACCATGTGACTCACCTCACTTGGCAACTAGTCAGGGTGGGGTCCATTTGTTCTCATCCTTCTACACAGGGGGGTCAGGACTCGATGGCATTCTCCCTCACCTCCCATCAGCCCTGGGGAGGAGGTGCCGGCTGACCTGTGTGTCCTGGGCATCCCGGGCCTGGCCTGCCTCCAGCAGGGCCTCAATGGACTGGATTCTCTCTGTGAGCTTTGAGTTTTCTGTCCTGGACTCCTTGAGCTGCCCATGGAGAACACTCAGCTCCTCGCACTTGCTCTTCACCTCTGCCTCACAGGACTGTAATTTGCTGTGCAGCTCTGTGCCGGGACAAGCAAAGCAAGAGTGGGTGAGGGGCAGGAAATACCCAGGATGGACACTCCACCAGCCCCTCAGCACATGGGCACCAAGGACACCCTCCCCTGCCTCCCCTGTGTGCTTGAGAGTTTAAGACATACTTCTGACTGCTGGGGCGCCTTATTAGCTACTGGAGAAAGTCACACTCTGGCTTTGTTCTCGAGGACTCATTAGGGTAGAATGAAACACTCTCAAATCACTCATAGGAAAATGACAGAAATCTAAAATGGATGTCACTGTAGTTTCTAAAAGTTTGTTCTCTAGGAGACTGCTCACATTAGCTGAGACCAAGGGCACGGGCCTTCTATGGGTATACTCCCTCAATGACCTCAGATAAGTCCCATGCTGTAAATGTTATCCATGTGTCTGTGACTCTGCAAAGTCCCGAAGCCCGGGTCTCACCTCCAAATCCAGGCTCAGCTGCCTGCCACTTCCAAATGAAGCTCTGCTTAGGCAACTGGAACCTAGCACTCCTAACCTCCCCATAATGGCTGCTCTGCTTTTCTGTACCCTCACTGCACACTCATCGAGGCCAATGGATTCTACATCCATGGTCTGCCAAGTCCATGCCTCCAACTCACCAGTACCTCTGTGGCTGTCTGGGCGCAGGCCTGTTGTCTTTTGGCCTGAATGAGTGCCGTAGCCTCATCCCTGGTCCCTTGGGCCACTCCTGCCTCTGGTCCATACCCTACCCAGTGCCAGAGCATCCAAAAGTACAAATGCGATCATGTCATCCCCCTGCCCTAAATGCTCTGAGCATTCTCATCACTGAATGTGATGAGACTCTTCATAGGGAGGGTCATCTGGGCCCTGCCCATCTGGCCCCACGCTGGTCACTTGTCTTCTTGCTTCAGTCACACTCACTGAACTTCTGTTTCTTGTACAGGCCAAGTTCAAGTTCATTCCCATTTGCAGGAATCCTGTGCTATCCATTTCTGTCCCTTCCTGGACTCTGTGAGGTTGGCCCCTTCCCATCATACAGACCTCAGCTTAAACATCTCCTCCATCTGCTCAATCTAAAGCCACACTTGGCCCATTAGAGCTGGGATCAGCAAACCAAGTCCATGGGCTACCCTTGTTTTTGTAAATAAAGCTTTACTAGAACACAGCCAGGCCTGTCTGTTTATTTATTGTCTGGGGCTTCTTCTAAACTATGGCAGCAGATCTGAGCAGTTGTGACAGATATCATCTGGCCTACAAAGCCAAAAATATTTACTACCTGGCTCTTAACAGAAATAGCTTGCTGACTCTACCCTAGGTCACATTGGCTATTTGAAGCCCACAGAGCACAAGGCTCCGTGACCTTGTTGATGTGTGTCTCTCTACCTACCTACACCTGTCTCTCCTGCTAGAATGATGCCCTGATGCTTACTGCTTCACTCTTGGCCCCACCCTGGTGCCCACAACTGCGCTCATCCCATGGATGTCGCTCAGGAAATACTGGTAAGCAAGTGACCACTGAGCTGTAACTGATGTCATCTGTTTTCTTTCTCTAGAGGCCCTGGGTACCCTAGACTTCGCCATCCTCTCTTGATTGTGAAAGGTGACCTGTGAACATTGGGGACCACAGGTCCACCTTCCAAACCTGGCCTCTTGGGCTAACTGAGCAAGGAGACAGAAAGGTCCAGAAGTCAGCCGAGAAGGTGAGCAATGAACTCGGGAGTGCCTCAGCTCGCCCACAGCCATGGCTCCAGGTGGGGCTCCATGACAAACAAGGCTGGAGGTGGCAGCACATTCAGCTCACCACCCACTCCCCAGCCCAGCCTTCAAAGGCTCTATCCCCCACACCCAACCCGCATAAGCTCTACCCCAACCCAGTCCTCACAGGCTCTGCCAGGGTGCCCAGCTCTCTCATGGGGGTGAGCCTCACCCCTGTACTTCTATTCTGTCCCCTGACAGGGCACAATCTCTGCCTCACAGACTTTCTGAGGAACCAAGTCCAGGATCTCATGCTGCCCTCCCTGGCCAATAGGACTGGCCCATTCTATGGGTCTGGCCCCAGCAAAGACTTCACCACCCAGCCCAGAGGCTCTGAGCCAAGCCTCTGCCCTCACCAGCTAGCTGCTGCTGCTGCTCCTGGGCCTTTTCAGCATCTGCCCTCAGGCTGGCATGGCTGGTTTGTGAGCGGCAAAGCTCCCGGCTGACCTCGTCCAGGCGTTTCTGCAAGGCCTCCTCACTCTCCTTGTGAGACACCTGGGGAGCAGGCAGAGGGAAAAGGGCCATAAGGATGCTGGAGGGAGGCCAGGCCCTCAACTAGCTCTGAGGTCACATAGGACACCCTGCTATCCACCCCGATGACATCTATAAAACCTGCCGGGATTTCTAAAGTCAGTTCATCCACTGAAAAAAGCCCAGAGTCCATGCTTGCCCTAACCCTCGAAAAGCTAGCTCAGGATGAAGGGGTCATACAGAAAAAGCGCCCCATTTTCACTTAAACCTCCAGTCTAACTTGGAAATTTCCTGAACAGGCCCTTGTACAGTTTACATTTATTGAGCTCTTTTTCCATGTAAGGTACTATTCTAGGCACTGTGTTATGTATCAGTGTGGTTAATCCCCAGCCACCCCAAGAGGCAGGTACTACAGTCACACTCATGTTATAGATGGGGAAACCGAGGCGCCACTCCCCAGCCCAGCCTTCAAAGGCTCTATCCCCCACACCCAACCCGCATAAGCTCTACCCCAACCCAGTCCTCACAGGCTCTGCCAGGGTGCCCAGCTCTCTCATGGGGGTGAGCCTCACCCCTGTACTTCTATTCTGTCCCCTGACAGGGCACAATCTCTGCCTCACAGACTTTCTGAGGAACCAAGTCCAGGATCTCATGCTGCCCTCCCTGGCCAATAGGACTGGCCCATTCTATGGGTCTGGCCCCAGCAAAGACTTCACCACCCAGCCCAGAGGCTCTGAGCCAAGCCTCTGCCCTCACCAGCTAGCTGCTGCTGCTGCTCCTGGGCCTTTTCAGCATCTGCCCTCAGGCTGGCATGGCTGGTTTGTGAGCGGCAAAGCTCCCGGCTGACCTCGTCCAGGCGTTTCTGCAAGGCCTCCTCACTCTCCTTGTGAGACACCTGGGGAGCAGGCAGAGGGAAAAGGGCCATAAGGATGCTGGAGGGAGGCCAGGCCCTCAACTAGCTCTGAGGTCACATAGGACACCCTGCTATCCACCCCGATGACATCTATAAAACCTGCCGGGATTTCTAAAGTCAGTTCATCCACTGAAAAAAGCCCAGAGTCCATGCTTGCCCTAACCCTCGAAAAGCTAGCTCAGGATGAAGGGGTCATACAGAAAAAGCGCCCCATTTTCACTTAAACCTCCAGTCTAACTTGGAAATTTCCTGAACAGGCCCTTTTCAGTTTACATTTATTGAGCTCTTTTTCCATGTAAGGTACTATTCTAGGCACTGTGTTATGTATCAGTGTGGTTAATCCCCAGCCATCCCAAGAGGCAGGTACTACAGTCACACTCATGTTATAGATGGGGAAACCGAGGCTCTGAAATCCTGCAGTAGACACCAAGGCTTCACTGTCAACACCAAATCCTGGCCTGTGGTCACCACCGTGGTCAGCCATTCCCAAAATCTTTGGGATCAAAGGAGATAGAACGGACTCCTCTGTGTGGCCCCAGGCTGAGGACAAGTAGCCTGAGGACTGATAGGGCAGGAAATGCTCAGAGTCTGGGGCTTACTGATGAGAGCCAGGCCTTGGCCATAGGCTGCGTCTTTAGAAATGATACATAATGGCAACACTTTGGGCACTAGAGTGGTGGTTCTAGCCAAAGAAGCACCAGAACCATCTGGGAGCCTTTAAAATATAATCATGGCCAGGCCCACCCCAGTGGTTCTGATTTCATTAGTCTGGGAGAGCCCACTTTACATGAAAATCAGTAAACACCATATTATCCATCTCGATTCCACCTAAATAACCCAAACTGTTTATTTGTCCATGTTCCTTTAGTCTCATACAAACATTATTCTTACAATTTTGTGTTTGTCTCTTTCACAAGACAGCTCCATTACCCTATGTGCTGTAGCCTAGCTTCAATGACTGAGCAGAAAAAGGACCCGAAGCCCTTTGGGATGCTAGGATTTCCTCATTATCCAGGAAAGTTAAATGCAAAGCAGGCATGATATCAAGACTCCCCACATCCAGTCACCCTGCCCCAAAACAGGCGAGCTGGAGGATCTAGAAGTCATCAGGCCAACAGGCAGCAAGGCACCTAGGCTGAGGAACCACACTGGATGTTGCCCAGTGCACTTTGGGGACAGGAAACAATCTTCCTTCCTCAGGAGAAAGGGCATCCTTCTGGGAAAACAAGAGCTTCCAGGTCACATCCAGAGGCTGAGAAGGAAAAGTGCCCACCTGGCCTTGAAGCCAGAGGCTGCTAACATTAGCTTAGCTGGCTACGGCTAGAGCTATGGAACCAGAGGTGATGGCGAGTGTGGGAGCACAAACACAGCATGGGGCTAGACCCGGGGGTTCAAATCCTCCCTCTGTGTGAACTTGGGGTACTTGCTTAACTTCTCCACACCTCAAATTTCCTTATGGGTAAATTACAGATAGTAACAGAACCTACTTCATTAGGGTCACAATGAGAATTAGCTGAGTTAATGCTTATAAAGTGCTTAGAACAATGCTTATTAGCACATAGAAACCAGCTACTCCGTGCTAATTAGCGATCACGATTATTCACAAAGCCAAGGTTGAGGGTTCCAGCGCTGGCCCTGCCTGAGTCTCCAGCTGTCATAGTAATGGCTGGGAAGGCATGACTCAGTGTGGCCTGGCAAGCCCTGGCCTGTCCCTGCTACACAGACAGTCTTGGTGAGCGGGGTGAACAGGGCACTGAGATGGCCACCACCATGACTCACCTGCAGCTGCAGGATCTGCTTCTCAAAGGCGGCTGCCTTGGCTTCCAGAGCCTTCCGCTGCTGCTCCTCCTGCCGTGTGGCCTCTGACTTCTCCACTAGCTCCTTGCTGACCTTGCTGAGTTCCTGTCGGAGCTTGGCCAGCTCCGCATTCTGCCTGCAAGATAGTCACCAGCCCCCAAGTGACAGAGGGAAGAGGGCTTGAGTCAGCTGTTGCCAACCCCAAAAGCTGCCCCCAGGTGAATGGGACCATGATCTGAGCTTTCCCTCCAGGGCACATGCTCTTTCTTAAGTAGTTACCCAAGTCTTGCAGTCATTACCAAAGCCCCTCTTGCATTATCAGCTAGGTAGAGTTTTATCAGCATGGTGTATGGACCAGAAAGAGCAAAGAGCAAAGTGTGCACTAAAATATCCTACTGGTGCCCCTTCTAGAAACAGCTGGAAATTCGGACAGAAAAAAAGGCAAGACACTCTTCTCATTGCTAACCAGGGTCCAAACAAGCCCTCAAATGTGGACTGCTTCTCCTTGTCCCCCCACAGGGCCAGGGGCAGCAGCCCACTGGAGTCCATGTGGCCTGCTTCACCCAAAGAGGGAGGCTGAGGCACTTAACATAATGGACCCTTCAGCACTGCACACTCAACACTTCAACACTGAAGCTGGGTTTCAGGACCACTGAGAAGTTCAGGAGGGTGGGAAAGAGACTTGATTGACAGGAAAAGAGGGGCCGCTCAATGCCCGCCTTTTCCAGTATGAAGAGGTAATCAACATGCCGACCTCCTTCACTAGCACGAAAGACACTTCTTCAAGGCAGGGCCAATGATCCAGCCAAGGGACAGCACCAGACAAGATGAATGACATAGACAAGACTGTCTACAACCCTGGGAGGCAGGAAACCTGGCCAAGACCAGTTCTGTCTGCTGCTGGGGGATTGAGTGGGAGGTTCTCACCTCTGAACTTGAGTTTCTTCATCTGCATCAGGGAAGCCACCCTGAAGCCCTCTACGGGGCCGTCACCTCATACTTTACAGTACCAAGATTTAAGATTGGAGTGCTCACGGGAAAGGTGAGACTCCAGCACCCGGAGATGGAGACAGACTGGGTGGGCAGCCTCTGGGAACTGGTTTATACCTCTGGGAGGGGCCCAAGAACACCCATCTCGTATGTGCAAAGCTTCCGCAGATTGATACAGTCAGCGTCTGCCACCTTGGGGTGACAGGTCTCCATGCTTTGGAGCTTTCCCGAGGATGGAGGCCGCAGCAAATTCTACATGACAGGGGAAGCCAGAATGTTCCTCCACCCTTGTGTTCACCTTCTGCTTGTGGCTGCTGAGAGGAAACTGTAGCCACAAACCTCCAATCTGCCGATGGGCCAGGAATGAGATGAAGACGTGCACACAGGGGATCTCTACAGAGAAGGGACTGACTGGCCTAAGGAAGGTGGCCTTCAGATCTTAGTCCGTGCCAGGGAAGCCGCCAGCAAAAACAGATGTGTGGGCACCAACTTCCCTCCCTGGTCTAGCTCCTGGGCCAACATTCTCCCTCCCTGACTTCCAACTAAATGACTGAGGGTATTGGTGCTCTCTGGCTTAATCAGTTCTCTTACTGACAAGAGTCAAGGTGCTTTGGGGATAAACGCAATATTCCTTCAGGACGCTTCAGGCCAAGAGAAGCCAAAGAAATGTGAATTAAAATGAAATGCAGGGAGGCTTCCTCCAGGCCAGCCTGTTGAAACTGTAATGCTCAAATCAAGGAACTTGAAGAAGGCCAAGGTGTACTTAACATGGTGAGATTTGTGCTGCCCTCTGGGGTCTGCCCACTCAACTTCCTAGCACTTCAGCTCCTGAGAGGCAATGCTGAGTCAAGAACTCTGCTAAGCCGGCTAAGCAGGTGTGCTTATTGCTAGTGTATCAAAAGCAAATGTCCCTCTAGCACAGGGGACCATCCCCAGTGGAGAGTCAAGGCACTCAGGCCCACAGCAGGTCCCTACACCACATCAAACTCTGATCTTGGACAATCCACTTGTACTTGAAGTTCTGGACCACAATTAGTTTTTAAAAGCCTCATACCAGGTTTTTGTGAAGACAGACATGGAAAAAGTATCTGCTCGTCTAGGAAAGCAGATGCCAGCAGCAGCCAGGATCTGATGGGCATGGGCATGGGCAAATTGGAGCTCACTTGTTCACCCAGCAGCCTGACCACAGGAGAGGACACTGGCTATGCTTCAGAACCACACAAGAGATTGAGGGTCAGGATGGAGCCCCGAATGGGGAGGTACAGAAGCACGCAGCAAGCCCCAGGTCCAGTAAGAAACTAGAATGCTTCCATAGCAGCCTTGAGAGAAGATCGGGGACCATCCCTGGCTCCAGAGCCCCCTAGGATGTGCCACTGCAGAGTGTGACTGGGAGCACTGAGCTTACTTGCTCTCCACCTGGCTCGTAGCTTGGTTCAAAGCGTCCCTCAGGATGGAGTTCTCCTGCTGTAGACGGGCCAGCTGTGTGTTGGGGCCATTCTCCAGCTGCTCCTGAAGACTCCGGATCTGAAATCAGAGTGCTGTCTGACCTTACAGAGTTGACTTCTGGAGCACAGTTAGTGAGGTCACAGCCCACATACAAAACCCCTGAGAGCTATACTTCTCCACACGAGGTTGGAAAGACTCCTAAGAACAAGAGGTCTAAAAACTGCACAGCTCCAGCATCAGGGGCTTGGGGCCAAGAGTGAATCCCAGCCATGAGCCTATTCTCTCTCCTCTGCTTCCCAGCTTACAGCCAAGTGCTCAGCCTAGAGCCCCAGAAATGTTCCGAGCACTCTGCCTCTGATGTTACTGAGTTGACTATTCTGAGACAAAGGACACGGCCATAGCCAAGGCCTACAATAACCCTGAGGAAGCCTTGGTTCCTGCCCTCTGGTCTCCCATGGCCCAACATGAGCAGAGTGCAGGTTTGAGAAGATGAGGCCTAGTGCTCTAACTATGTGGGCCAAGCTGGACACGCCCTCTGCTGGCCTTACTCCAGAGCTGTGTGGTTTTAAGGTCTTTTGCTTTATGGGGTCCTCCCAACCTGAAATGGAGAAGGCAGAGCTAGCATTACTCTAGGGTCACATAGAGGCTGAGAACTTGACCTGCAGGCACCCAGAAGACCAGACACAGGGCTGGCCACTTGGGACCAGACTGTTTTCAAAAGGTGCTCTTTAAAATTTATTTTACATCTTCCTGGTTAGTAACATTAAACACACACTGTGGGCTGGCTGCTATTATCTGGCCAGATGAAACAGCTGCTTCCTCTAAAAATGAACCAGTTTCTGCAGAACCCCCTACTCCTATCCCCCCTCATACATCTTCAATTGCCTTCTGGGGACTGCTCCAACCTTCCCTCGCCCCCCAATTGTGCCCCTGAAACTGCTGCCCACCTTGCCCTGCAGCTGTTGCACCTCCTTCACATGCTCCCGGTAGCTGGCCTGCATTCGGGCCTGCATAGCCGTGATCTCCTGCTCCCGGGCCACCAGCTGCTTTTTCACCTTGGCTTCCCCAGCTGCTGCCTTGGCCTTTTCTGTTGCCAATTCCTGGGAAAAAGCAGAGGGCATAAGTCCGGTTAGGCAGGCAGGGCAAGAGCTTATCAGGTGGACCCAAGATCATCAGAACCCAGAGCACTGGCTGGGGCTGGGAGGACCTGGAGAGCAGAGCAACGAGAACCCTCCTTCCTAAGTTTTCAGACAGCCCCACACTAGTCACAGCAGACAGCAAGCAAGACATGAAAAGTCCCTGGAAAACCCTGCTGCTGGCCTGACCAGCGGAGGGCTGGATGTCAGGCCTTGGCTACAACAGATGCAGTGGACACAGGCAGGTGCCAAGTAAACATGGCATGCTGTCCCTGGGCTCTCCAGGGACACTGGCTCAGCCCTGCTGAGATTATAACACCCGACTTGGCTCGGTCCCTCACATCCAGGCCCCAGAATACCCACTTCTACTTGAACGCCTTTGTCAGGACTGACAAGGCTGCGAGCCTTGATTGCTGGGGTGGGGACATGGATAAGCTGCCTGTCCCACTGCAGCTATGGGGTCAGCCCCACTCCTGGAGGGCATAGGTCTCCGTGGGCAGCCATTCAGTCCTCTCAGCCCAGGGAATGTCTGCTCTGGGCAGTGTCGAATGCCACAATGAACATAGGATGTTGGGCCTGGGGACCTGGAGCCTCAGGCAGGGGCAGAGCACAGGATAAGAAGGGTTGCCTGAGGGTGAGGGGCTGGCTGGGATCTGTGTCATTCCAGAAGGAATGGCAGTGGATGAAAGCCTCAGGGAAGCATGGGGTGACGGTATAAGGATGGGTTGATGCAATGGGCCCCTGGGGAAAGGGTATTCCTTGTCCAGAAGGCCTCCAGCCAGAATGGCAACCACTTGGTGTGGGTTCAGCTGATCTAGGTGACTGGGGTGCTAGTGTCCCACAATATTCAAGGCCCTACCTCTTCCCCGTCATAGGTAGTGAACCAGAAAAGTGAGAAATCCTCTCCCTCTCAAAGCCAGGTCTGCCAGGGAGACCCATTCCAAAGGGCCAGTGTCTCTCCTGCCTGAGATGAGAGAGAACTGGAGGCTAGGGGAGGGGCTCAGTGAACTGGGGTGGCCGCTGGGTGCCAGAGCTGTTCTGTGCACATGGCATTCCCTGGGACCACCTGGGACCCAAAGGCCCCTCTTTACAAAGACAATCCTCCTGTCTCCACCCAGGGTAAGAGCCCATAGGACCATGAGGTCCAGCCTCAGGAATGCTTCATTGATTATCTATAAAAATGGGAGGGGAGGATGATGTTGTGTGCCCACTGTGAGACAAGCAGCTTTCTCCTTTAATTCTCTCAGTAAGATGAGGATCTTGAACCCCAGATTGAAGCTGAGGTCACAGAACCCTGGGGAGCAAATGGTGTCCCAGGTTGAGGAGCAGCTATAAGTGTCAGAAGTGGACTAGAACCTGGGACTGTGTGAGGCCACAAGAGTCCCAGAAAGTGGGAAGAATGACAAGGCTGGTCCAGCAACCTCTAAAGAAGCAAGACAGGGCAACTTAGCAGGGATTCAAAGATCCACCAGGCTTCCTCTAACGTGCGAGACCCGCCAGCCCCACCAGTAAAACTCCACACACCAGCAACGCAGGGAGACCCCTTCTCTTTGCTGGGTTTCCCAGACAAGGGCCCTTAAAGTATAGGATCCAGGCTCGGAGAAGAAACCAAAGCTCAGAAAGACCCTAGAATGTCCACGGCCACAAAAGCAGCAGGTGATACAGCTACATGTGGGCCATCCTCCACCTACCTCTGTTGGCCACACTGCACAGACACTCAGAGGCTGGCACTGAGCATCTTTCTGGGGACAGCTTTACCCACCTTGAGCAGGCCTTGTGCAGTTCTGGGCATCCACCCAGGGTCAGGGTGTAAAGGTCTCAACCTCCTGGGGACAGGGTCCCAAGGCTATCAGAATTCAATGGGATTTCCCTTCCTTTTGCCTCTGGGCTTTCTTAAAGGGCAGAGAAAAGCCAACTTTTCCTAAGGGCATTTGTCTAGCCCAACTTGGGTTCTTTTTATAATAAGAGCCCAGAATCCCAGGATTCCTCTTGCCTGTCAAATTGTTAATTCATTTGCAAGGGTCAGATTTTATTGAGAGGCATGCCTGGTGGTGGTGGGGATTGGAGCCCAGTTTTCTTTGGACTGAGGGAGGAGGTTTGACACGACAGCAAACACTGCTGGCTCAGAAATGGCATCCTGCTCTGTAGACCGAGAATGGGTTCTACTTGGTGTAAGCTTCTAAAGCCTGCTGAGGAATGGACAGGAGGAGGCAGGTCCCATCAAAATGGCCTGCCACTAGGAATAGCTCCCACCCCACCCCTGGGAGCACATCCATCCTGAGGGTGCCTGACTGCACTGAAGTCAGAGCGCAATCTCCCAGGCTGAGCGAGCACAGTGTGGAGTATAGTCCAGAGCTTTGCCTCAAGACAAGAGGCCCCATGACAGGGCACCTGGTGCCTGAGAACATAACAGCTAGAAAAATGGTTTTCTAGAAGGGCTGCACCAGAGCCATGCATGGGTCCTCAAACCCACGCACAGGGCCACGAAGACCCTCAGAAGGCTGGGACAGAGGTCCTGGGGGTATGCAAGATTGTTTACTCCTGTAGCTGGTATCTGGAATGGTTCTTGAGCCCAACTGTGCTGGGACTTCACCATTTGTGAGGCATGAATCCATCACAGAGAACAACAATTCACACATTCTCTGGATCATTCCTTCAGACACAGACCACGAGAAAGAGAATTCACCAAAACACTCTTTTGCAACTATAAAAACTTCTCTACAAGGAAAAAAAAAAAAACACGTGGAGGGAACAAGATCCTAGCCCTCTTACCAGCTCCTTTGGCGAATTAAGTTAAGAGGAACTTCCACATTCTCAACAATTTAGTTTCTCATATGACTTTCCTTAAGGGTGCCGGGCTAGGAAACGTGACAAGAGTAGTCAATACATCAGCTTTGCTCAAAACTCTCAACAGAGAAATGCAGGGCCCCGATGTCCATGGGTTCCAGGAGCACAGGGAGGAAAGATGGCAATGCTTAAATCATCAGAGGCATCCTCTTAGCTGTGTGTGTGCTGGCCCTGGGCTTCAGCAACCACTTGCTGACAGGTGGCCTGCTAGGCTGAGTCGAGCAAGGTTGCCTGAGTAACTGGCGACAAATATGACAGCGCATAACTGCAATGATGACCTCTGTGCTGGACAAGAAAATGGGGACTCCAGAAGGCTTCCCCAGAGAGGGAGAACAAATTGAGTCTTCTAGGGAAAAAATGTCCAGTTAACTCAGCAGCGAAAGGCATTTGAAGCTAACAGAAGAGCAAGAAAGGCCCAGAGGAGGCAATGAAGGTGCAGCACATCAGGGAACAGATGGGGGTGGGAGACCATAGGTGGTGCTCAGGGTGCAGACTTCGGTGTAAAGATTAGGAGCCACTGGCAGACTTAAAGAGAGCTTTGCAGGACAAGAGTAGCATTTGAGAGCCCTCCTTGGGCTGCAGAGAGGAGGATGTGGTCAGGAGAGGGAGGGCCCTAGAGGGTAAGATGAGTAATAAGAACCGAAGGCCACACCCCTGCATATCTCACAGACTTCTGCAGCTAGAAGCCACGAGATGTTCTACCAGGGGAGGGTTGGAAATGCATCTAGACCTGGGGAGGGTGCCAGTGGATTAGCTGCCATTGCGGTTTTGGAAATCTTGTATAGTGGCCACCACTGAGGGAGAGCAGTAAGTGTCTAGGACAAGAGGCAGTGTCTAAGGGGCCTCTTTCTACAGGATGTACTCCCCGCTTACACTTGCTGCCCTGCTCATGGTGGCCAGAGACTCCAGCAATGGGGAAGAGACAGGCCAGCATCACTATCAGAGGTTGTACCTATTCAACAATCACATCTGAGCCCAACCTAAATTCAAGGGGCAGGTACAATGAACTAGCCAGGCAACCACGCAGCCAGTCAGCCATGGAACATTCACTCCTATTTCCTCTGACGGGAGATTCTGGGGGTCAACAAATTTTCACAGGCATTTCTGTTTGTCCAGAAAGACAGTATGGAAGAATGGCACCCCAAAACCACAGATTCTTAACCAGTGCTGTGCTGGTTGGCTGGCTCTCAGGGGGGAGGGCTCTAATTGGCAGTGTCAGTCCATTTCCGTGGTGTAAGGGCTCCCGGCCTATGGCACCCTATTAGTTGAGGCAGGAAGAGACGTGTGCAATCACCTCTCAGGAGCAGGGCGAGTAGCTCCAGCTACCCTGCATTTAACCAGCAACCCAAAATGAGCTCACGTGAAGGCTGTGTATGGACAGTATTGAGAGAGATGATGAGTCCCTCTGTCCCCACCCCCGGCAGAAGCTCTAGGGAAGGCAAAAGAGACCTGCCTTTTTCTTTTCTTCTGCACAGAGCATTAACCAAGAGTAACTAGCCAAAAGCTCATCTGCTCTGGTAGATGAATTTTCCCATTTAGTTTGGAGCTGCATCCCTCTAACTCAGGACAGAAACTCAGGCTGCTTCATTTCTTCTCAAATGAGCAGATGGAGGTACCCAGAGGAAGGGCTGCAGCAGTGTGGGGCAATCCAAGGCCCAGGCTATTCTCCTGTACCTGCTGTACCAATGGAGGAAGCAGGTAAGCAGGGAGAGAGTGAGAACGATGCTCAGCATTTTGCTGGGAAAACCCAACCCATGGAGTTTCTCCTCAGGAGAGGCAAGGAGAAGTAAAGAGAGTTCTGGCAGGGGTAGAGCAGCTCCTTGTGCATGTGTTCTGACTCATCCAACTGTGGTTCAGTGAGTACAAATGTTATACTAGAAGCCATCAGCTGACACAAGGAACCAGGCTTTTCCTAAAGGATCACTCGACAAACATCAGAAAAGAAAAGCAGCCCTTACACTTCCCTCCCCATGAATTTTTGCTCCAATTCTCAAGCAAACGGTCATGGATCAGCTCTGCCTACCCTCCTTTCATGGTGTATACCCTAAAACGATGGCCCATCACTGTGGCACTGACCAGTGAAGTTCTGGTCCATCCCCATCATATCCTGATGGTCCTAACCCCTACTTAATATCCATGCATTCTTAGTCCTAAGAAGGGAGCCAACACCCCACAGAGCTCCAGAAGATCTGCACAGGCTGGCCACAGGTGTCACAGTCACAGCGTGCATTGGTGAGGGACAGTGACATTAGGCAGGCCTGAGCGAGGAGTCATGGTAGGGAGGCCGACCCCAAGATCCAGGAGCAGCACTGGCCACAGCCCAGGGCTTCTCGAGACAGGATGTGTACTCTCATACCTTATTGAGCTCCCTCAGTTTGCTCTTGGCAACAGCTGCATCTTCTTGCTCTGTGGCCAGTAGCTTTTCCTTTTCTTCCAGCTGGCGTTTCAGAATTGCCACAGGGTCACCCTTCTGAGTGGCCTAGAAATGCCCACAGAGCCATGTTAACAGAGGAGAAAGATACTTGGTTTGTCCCCTAATCCAGCAATCAGAACCACAAGAACAACAGTTGCCTTATGAAGTGGGAGCAGGTGCTTTAAGACAAGCAGGTTCAATCCTGACTCCATATACTTCGGAGGGAAGGCACCCCTGCCTCAGCTGCCCCGTCTATAAGGCCTCCAGGGCCTATGGACACAGAAACTGTTTGGCAAAAGTGATGGCTCCCTGGGATAGTTGTTAGGAGCATGGTGTTTCCCACTTAACTCGGGTCGATGGTGGCCAAGGCCTATTCCTGATCCACTGAGGGGCAGTTTTCCATTGTTTCTGGCTCAGTGCCCACCCCTTAGACACTGTGTATAGCCTATAGGTTTCTGGCTGAAGCGGGGAGGTTGTGGGAAGGGCAACACTGGGGATAGGTGCCTGAGGTGAGTCTGGGGCTCTCTCCTTGAAAGAGGAGTGGTCATTTTGACCTCCTCCAGCTACTCACACCCAGGAGTCCTCCCTCCACCCGCCATGCTCATTGAGCTCCCTGTGACTGCATGGGCCAGTAAGGGCAGTCACACTGGCATGGCTCTCACAATACCCCTCAATATCTCTAACCTCTAAGTTGCCACAAAATTCTCCAGCAAAACTACCTATAATTCCAACTCTGATTAAGGAATAAACAAACATGTGCTATGCAGCACTTCCTTCATGCAGCTCATTCACCAAAGTACCAGAGGGTGGGTGCCAGCCCCTGAACTGGCCCCTGACAGCAGGAGGGAAGTTGGAGAGAGCCGTTTCTGGGCCCATCACAGGGTTTCCTTACTCACAGTGTGTTCCTACACACCCTCCTTCTTGCACAAAACTGTTAGGCCCCAGCTCCTACGTTCCACCCACAGCTCTGCCCTGCTGCTTAACATCCATCGTGATTCAGTAGCCCAGACAGGAATGGGCTGTGGCAGAAGCCAAAGCATTTGCAGGGTGATTCATGCAACCTCTGCTTGGGAAAGGACAGAGGGTTCTGCTGAGAAAGGTAAGCGGAGGCTGTTGCATGAACACTCTGCAGCTTGGTAAGCTGAGTGTGGCCAGCCTGACAGGCATCGCCCAGGGGAGGCTGGGACCCCAGGACTAGGTAACCACCACAACTTACCAGCCCCTGAGAGGGAGGGGAAGGGCAAGACCACTTGGGGCCAGCTGTAGTAGCCACTGAATGTGGCCAGGAAGGGCACCCACCTTATGCCAGGTGTCCTGAATGATACCAGCCTTCTCAGACAGGATCTCAATGAGCCGCTGGGCCTCACCCTCACTAAACACCATGCTTCCAACCGTGGAGACCAGCGTCTTGTAAGGGAGGTAGAGAGGGCTGTCCGAGTCCGTGGGCCCTGTGCAGAGAGAAGGTAGGAGCAGGAACTTACACTCAGACACCAGCAACCAAGCTCGTCACACCCTGAAGCAGCAGGGGGCAGTCAGAGCGCAGGACTCTGTCCAGCTGTCTGGGGTATGCTCCTCAACTTACATTGGGTTTACGTCCCAACAAACTCATCGTAAGTTGAAAATATTGTTAAGTCGAAAATGCATTTAATACACCTAACCTACTGAACATCATAGCTTAGCCTAACCTACTTTAAACGTGCTTAGAACACTTACATTAGCCTACAATTTGGCAAAGTCATCGAATACAAAGCCTATTTTATAAAAAAATATTGAGTATTCCATGCAATTTATTATTCATATCGCTTTTGCCTTGTCATAAATTAGAAAGACTATAGGTGGAACCATGGTCAGTCCGGGACAGCCGGTACAGACCAAACTGCGGGTCCTGCACAACTCTCCTGACTGCTCAAAGACAGCCAAAGGAAAGCTCCCCAAGCAAAGAAAGGTAGAGTTTTCCTGGGTTGGGGGAGATGTCTCCCCCTTTTTATCATCAAAATGAGCAGAATTAAGGAAGGCATATTTTTCCCAAAGGTGTTTTCCTTCTTTTTCTAGCAATTTGACCCCCGTGCTGTGATCAAGCTCTATGGTCCTGCGTGTCCTGACTGACCAGCAAACCTGCCATTCCCCACAAACATAGATGGCCACAGCCACACCCCATGGTCATGGGAGAAGCACGGAAAGCAAAAGTATTTCCAGGACTGCCTCTGTGGCTCCAGGAAAAAGAAGGCTGCTTCCCATACACCCAGATTCAAACAGTATTTCTATCTCTCCCTGGGTGAAGTTTAGGCAAGTGTTAGGAGAAGGAAATTTGGGTTGGGTTCTTCCAGAATGGGCCTACCCACTCCTCAGTCCATTCATGACCTCTGGAAGACAGGGCCACTTTCCAACAACCAAATGTCACTTCTGAAACACTCCTGATACCACCCCCAACCAACAACCACAACAAAAAGAACTTCTGCTCCCATCACAGGCTCTCAAGGCAAGAAAGAGTGAATGGAGATGCCCCATCTAGCGGGAGCCTTGCTTGAAATGCCTGGGAAATTCCTTAGATTGAGACCCAAATCTGCCCCACAGCTGAATGACAGGGCCAAAAATGAGCCGTAATCAAGAAAACAGGCCAGCCTGCAGCAGCCCCTCCAGCTAAGCTCACTTCACTGAGGACAATAAATGGGAAAGGTTTCCATAGCAACCCTAAATTCTCTGGCTTGTCACAGTATTTTCCCACACTAGTCACAATATTTTCATCACAAGTCAAAGCACTTAGCATGATACCTTAATAAGGGGAATGTCGGACTTGGGTTGCTATGAGCACCTTTATTTTAGAACTTCTTACCTCGGTGAAGCTTGAAATTAAAAATAACCATGTTGACACTAAAGGCCTAAGCTAACGGGGTGTCACAAAAATGAGTATGGGGTGGGGAGGAGGGAGCATTTCCCCTATAGCCTTCTGTATTTTCATTGAAATATACATATATAATATGAAGTAATTTTAATGGTAAACTAATATACACTAGAAAAAATTCTGAGTGCAGTTAAGCCAAACGAAAATAAAAACCATTCTCTAGTTCAATACTGGAGAAAACCCCACTATAGCATCTTGGTATACAGGCTTCCTGCTTTCCTCCCTCGGCCTGTTTTCCAGAAAAGGGAGGCCCACTCATTTCAAAGACACTGCTAGAATAAGAAAGGCCAGGACAGCCTCTCTGAAGGTGATCACTGCACAGACATTTTTCTGTCTTGACTCAAAAAGGTCTACACCTGCACTGTCTGGTACACTGGCCACCAGCCATGTGGGGCTACTAGGAACTTGAAATGTGGCTGGTGTGAATGGAGGTATTCTACGAGTGGGAGTATAACCCCGGATTTCAAAGACTTCATATAAAAAAAAAAAATGTAAAATATGTCAAAATTTTTTATATTGATTGTATGTTGAAATGATAATATTTTGGGTAAATTGGGTGAAATAAAATATATTATTAAAATTAACTGCATTTGCTTCTTGTTTGCGTGCCTTTTTAAATGCGGGTACTAGGAAGGTTTAAATTCCATACGTGGTGCACTTATGCGGTTCACAATACATTTTTATTGGACAGAACAGTCTGCTCTTTTCCAGCCTTGGGGATCCCCAAAGCATTCCCTCATTCCCTGCTGAAGTCCTGGCAGCTCATGTCCCTGCAGAGCCTCAGAGTCACCAGGGGCTTAGGCCTCTCTTGAAGGATCTCCTTGAAGACCATCTTTCTAGGACCCCATGACCCCTACTGCACCGCCACTGAGGGCCTCCTCCTGAAGCCAATGCTTCTTCCCACCTGCTTGTCCTTGGGCAAGTGGCTTCACCTCCCTTTACCTCTGTTTCTTCATCTGTGAAATAGGGGTAATAATCGTCCTTCTCTCACAACCTTGCTGCCATGTGCTTTAACAATGCCTGGCACAGGGTAAAGCACTGCAGAATCCATCCACAGGACCACCTTCAAGCCCCAGTCACAAGAGAATCACAGACCCTGACCCCTCTCCAGAGAGCACATCCAGGGAGGAGCTTGGGGTGGCTGAAGCAACTCTGCCCTTTCTCCTACTCCCACCAGTGGAATGGACAGAGTACCACAGCCTGTGGACCCTCTGGCTCCTGCCTCATACCACCATCCTCACTCATGAGGTTAAAGGGGTATCACGTACAGGCAAACAAGGAGCCCTCTGCCTCCCTGGGCTCTCGGCCAAGAAGCAGCTCCCAGATAATGTGCATTACACCTCAAATTCCACTTCACTGCCTTTTGCAACCACACTGGGAGGCTTAATCACCTAAAATTAAACTTGTCTTGCAAAAAAAAGGCACTTAGGAGTCCCTTTCTCTCTGTCAACTGCGGTCCTTCAGGGAGAATTTTCTTTCCAACTGCTTAATTACCAAGATCCCCAAGGCCAGGTCCCAGCCATAGGGGACTCATTGGGCTCCAGAGCCTAGCACTGTTTCAGCATTAGCCCCTCTAGCGGCGAGTTCCTAGAAAGAACACTTCTGCCCTGCTAATACCCAGCTTACTCAACCGACAGGAAGGATGTCGGTATTGGTCAGTATCAGTACAGTACACTCCAGGAACTGCCTCCTGAGCTGGACAACCCAGATCAATGAGAGGGGATTATCACCATAGTCCTTCGATGAGCCATCAAAAGGCTCCAGCTCAACTCCAGCTCTTGTTCCAGGCACCTGGCAGCCCCTCCCAGGACAGGCGGGTCAAGGGGGTCTCTAGACACAAAGTGTGGACCTACTGTGTACCTGGCAGTCTGCAAAAGGCTGGGCCTAGACAGGTAAGTTATAGGCAGAAGTGTCAGCTAACACAGGTAGAGGAGACTCAGAACATGCAGCAATCATGCAGGAGAGCCACACAAAGGGAACCCGGAGACTGTGCACTTCACTGTGGAAGCAACTATGGCAGCAACACCAGGAAGGCTTTTAAATAAGGGATGCTTGAGCCAAACACTACTGGGTAAAAAAGAAGGCGAGGGCTAAGACTTCAAGAAGAACAGACAGGCAAAGGACAGGCACCAGAGGCTTGCAAGATGCCTCACTAGTCAGAGCGAGGGAAGTGAAACCAAAGTAGATCCAAGTCTTCAAAGATCCCAGGACTCCAAATTTTATTCCTTAGGCAAAGGACAAGCCCTAGAAGGGAGCAAGGTTTGCATATGGGAAAAATTACTTCAAGAAACCCAGGGGGACATGGCTGGAGACAGGTAAATTAGGAAAGAGTCCAGGGCCAGGGGCCAGGCCTGAGAGTATTTAGGAAGCTGAGCTGGTGGGACAGAGGCCCAGGTGTCAACCCAGGGCCTCTGACAGCGGAAGATGCCATGGGGTGTGTAGCCTTGGGGGCTGGGGGAGAACACCAATGGCAAAGACACTCATTTTCTCAGGAAATGTTCAGACCAGTCTGAAGGCCTCAGATACACAGATGCAGATACATAGACTATCACCTCTGCACCTTGCACGAGGGCCACCCCAATATATAAGTCAGGGGACCCTGCATAGGTCCCCCAACAGAAAGCCAGACCCCAACCTCAAGGTGCCAGGTTCGACATCCCCAGTCATGTGAGCCAAACTCCAAAGGCCCCAGGGCCCCAGGAAGTGCTCCCCTGTGCCTCCATAAAGTCCAGCACTACACAAGCAATCATTTCTTTGAGACAGAAGACAAGCTCCTAGCTCCTACTGACCCCAAGTCCAGAGGGCATCACCCTGAATCAGAGAAGCTGGCAGGCACACCCATCTCCAGAAATGAGGAACTCAAGCCAGCATTACTACTGGCCTCCTCACTAGCTGCATGCTTGTGACAGTGGCCATGAAGGATCCTCGTGGGCTTGTGGGAAAGCGGCCCTCATGAGGACCTTGATGAAAGATCCACCAAATTCGTCAATGGTGGCAGCTGCAGCCCCTGGCATCCTCATTGTTGCTCATCTGTACCACAGCAGAGGTGGGCCCTGGGCAGCAGGTACATGGCAGACTCTAAGACCAGCTCAGCCATGGAGCCCAGCACTGCTCAGGAGCTAGTCTGCCCTCAGGACCAGATGCAGGCCCTGGAAGAGCAGTTGCACTTGACTTAACCATCATGGACACTAACTTCTGGCAGTTTAAGCACACTGGAATGAAGTACAAATAATGTCAAGAGCAACGCTATTTAGGGCCTTTGAATCAGGCCTTTTCCTTTGGTTGGAAAATAATCTGTTAACTGGTTATGCTCTTAATAATGACTAATGGAATTTTTTTTAACCCTTTTCCCATTAGGGAAAAAAAAGTGCAGTTCACTGCCCACGTTTATTTAACATCACACATAGGAATGCTCCATTTTCTAGGATTTGATATTTTCAGCAATCGAAAATTACTATATTTTGTAAATGGAACTACCACTACTAAAAACAGAGTGCTATAAATAGAATGATGTCATTTGTTTCTAAAGACTATCAACATACTAGA